ACTGCTAGCCCTTGCATAATCCTGGCCAGCGCCGGGAGTGAACTCGGGACACGTTTGGCGACCTACGGGCAGGGAGCCGGAACGCCAAGGCTCGCTGCGCTCGCGCCAGATCGCCCAGGATGCGTCCTAGCGGGCCCCTGCGCTCTGGGTGGACAAATGCATCAAGCTCGCGACTGGCGAGAAATGCAAGCCATTGAGCAGCATCCGCTGTTCAGCGGTGCGATTGGCTCGCCAACTCGACCCATGGCGGGCCGGCGCGTCGTAAGTCGAAGAACCGGACGCTCCCGGTTCGCCGTCGCTTACTTGCTTGCAGCGGCCCGCCTCAGAGGTTCTCTTCTTTCGGCGTGAAGCCGTCGGGGATCTTGCCGTTGGCGGGGGCGATCACGGGTTCGACGGACGCCAAGAACTCACGGGCGAACTCCATCGCCACGCTCTCGTCACCGGCGGCCTCGGCGTCGGCGCCACTGACGGTGAAGTACAGCTTGTAGAGCGCCGGGGCGGCGGCGAACTCGTAACGGAGAGCGCTGGCCGTCATCCCGTCGGGGACCCGCCAGACGACGGGCTCACCGGAGTTTGCGTCGGGCTTGAACCACGTCCAGAAGACACGCTGCTTCATGCCGCTGCTCATCGCGTCCGGCTTGGCGAAGGTAGCCGTGAAGAAACTCGCCTGCTTGCCGTCCTCGAGCGGCAGCTCGTAACGGGTCTGGTCGCTCTGCATCTCGAAGCCGTTGCTGCCGTAGCAGATGTCGGGCGTGTGACGGAAGGTGTCGCGGGCGTGGCCGACGATGAACCACACGCCGACGTCCTTGCCCTTGGCGTTGCTGTGGTAGGTGCGCGAGACGTAACCGCGCGCGCCGGCGCCCTTGCGCTCGACCTCGGTCACCTTGTTGTCGGTTGATTCCCACTGGCCGATCTTCGTCGGCACGTTGTCGAGCAGCGACGCGCAGTAGCCGCAGTGGCGGCTGTCGGCCCATCGCTCGGACATGACGCCCTCGACGACGGTCAGGGAGACGATCGCCAGGATCGCGATCACAATCGGGATAACGCGCGTCATCGGGCGCTCGGGGGAGTGAGCAGGGTAGGCGAGGCTAGGAACCGGGGGGCTAAGGCCCCGCGGCTAATGGTTCATCGTCGCGACGGCTTTCGGCCTTCGGGAACGCTAGGCCGTGCTTGCCGGTCCGTCAAGCGAACGGGCCGGTGCGTCTTTCGACGCCCGGCCCGTGCGGTTAGTTCCGTCATGCCGATTCAACGGCTCAGCTCAACGGCTCAGCTCAACGGCTCAGCGGGTGATCGGCAGGTTCGCCGACGCAGGCTGGATGGCCGCGTCGAACAGCGGCGTCTCGGCGGCCGGGCGGCCGAAGGTCGTCGGCAGACGCCGGGGCGCCGGGGCGACGCCGTTCTGCGTGAACCCGACCGGCAGCGGCGGCGGCAGGTCCCGCTTGCCCGCTGCGGACTTGGGCAGCGACGCAGGGACCGTCTTTTCAAACGCCGGGGTAGGCGGCCCGAAGGCGTCCGTTCCGCCCGCCGGTGGGGCGTACCCGAACGGCAGGGACGGCGGGGCGCCTTCATTGGCCGGAGCGGCTTCCCCGCCCGCGCCGGGCGTCGGCAAGCTCGGCCGCGGCAGCGGCGGCAGGGTGATGTCCATGCCCGGACGGTTCATCTCTGGGCGGTTCATCTCGGGTCGGCCCATCTCGGAACCGGTGGCGTCCCTCTCCGTGTTGGATTCGACGTCGGCGGACGTGGTGTCATCCAGCGAGGGGGGGGCCTGCTTGTCCTCGTCCTCGGGCGACGGCGGCTCGTAGGGCGGAATGAGGCTGCCCTCGGTGGTCGCCTCGGGGGGCGTCGGGCCGCCGTCGTCGGTGCCCG